GCCACATGAATGCGGTGTGGTAAAGCTTTGAAATAAAATAAAATGCAAATAGCAATTGCACTTAGACTTATATACTGCTTCACAGTGCTTTACAGCCCTCTCTAAGAGGTCTACAGAGTCAGCATATTGCCCCCAACAATCTGGCTCCTCATTTTACCGACCTCGGAAGGATGGAAGGATGGGTCAACCTTGAGCCTGTTGAGATTCAAACTGCTGAACTGCTGGCAGCCGGCAGTCAGCAGAAGTAGCCTGCAGTACTGCATTCTAACCACTGCCCCACCACGTCTCATAAAATAAAGCCTCTAGCACAGATATTCTTCTCCAGGAAGGATATAAGTAAGCAAATGTAGAGCATTAAAGACTCACCTGGCTGTTTGGGTCACCAAGCAAGTTACATATATGGGGCACAATCTTGCTCAAGGTTAAACTCTGAGCTCCAGATCTAAAACAGAGGAAGAAGAGAAAAAGAAAGCAAGCAACATATCAACTGAAGTATTTTTCAAAGCAACTGAATGCAGGTATAAATTAGGCATAATAGTCCAACTTACGCATTGAGAGTTGCAATAAGGCAGAGGCAAATTCCTTCTCTTGTCCGGAAATTCTTGTGTTTGAATCCTCCCAAAATTCTGTCCCACACGTACTGTCACATAAATATAAGAAAGTAAAGGGAGGGAAAACACCCAAAACCAAGATCAGTTGCATCTGCTTGATCCTGAATATCCTATTGTCACAAGATAAGGAAGTGTGACAGGGTTGCACACGTAATGTGCATGTGCGGATGCATAAATGAATGAAGGCAGCGTAGGCAAGTGCAACTAATTTAACTATTGAAAAATATTTTAGAAGTTTATTTTTACTGGGTGGGAGCATACTGATATGGCCTCGTTAAAGGCTCTCAAAAGTTATGTTTTGAACATTAAAGCAAGGTAATTAAAAATACCTTGTATAAGATTCCACTACTCTGACAGAATGCTAAACATATATTATTTATACATAAAATACTTCATAATCTATAATTTTATTCAGAAGTTTTAAAGCACAGATAGGCAACCTATTGTTACAATATCAAGTACATCCTAATCCCTATTCTGTAGACCCAGGATATTCCTACATCATGACAAAACTTTTTGATGGTAAATGGTTGGATTTCATTAGCATGTTTTTATTTTATTTTATAGCAAACAAAATCTTATCTATTACACCATTTAAAGGTAATAGACATACAACCTGAGGAACTAATAAATACTAATGATCAAAAAGCAAAGATAACATGTTCTCCATGGAAAAGGTCATCCTGCTACTTTAAAAATGATCAGTTTGATTGATTTGCTTAATGACTGTGGTGTTCAGTTAATGACCAGTGCAAAAAAGGTAATAAAATCAGGTCAAGTGATGACACACTTAACAACCAGCACAACTTACAACCATAATTCCTGCCTCAATTAGGGTGGTAAGTTGAGGACTACCTGTAGCTATGGAACTATGGCAGCTAAATTACTGACTTTTTCTTAGAGTTCTTAAAATATATTTACTGTTGTTTAATCCGTTGAATATAATGCAAAGTAGACTTTTGAGCATAAAGGGCAGAGGTTGAGGATCTTCTTAAATATTGCTCTGCATAGATTATAAATAGAAACTTTATGTTCAAGGACTGAGATCTAATCAGCATCGCTCCCTCCCTATCTCCATTCCTCTGTGCCTGTTTTGGTACCTACAAAAAGTATGCTTCAATTCCGGTTTACTTTGATTTAAAAAAAGGAGCACAAATACTCTGAACAAACACACAGGTTAGCTATATGCTCCAGCTTTATCACATCATTAAAAAGATTCTAGATTATGTTCTTGGTCACTTCAATTAAGGATATTTTCTGCACTTATATAAATC